ACATCTTACTCCTGCCCTCCTTCTCTAATCCCCAGCCCCCTTAATACATTACCATTTGACTCTGTCATTATGCTGTCAATCTGCAAAACTCTTGAGGAAGAGTCCTTATGTTAAATAGGCCTGATACTTTGCTTAAAGAGGTTAGTGCACTATCTGCAGTTCTATTCTTGTCAAGAATAGGCTTTTGAAATTTCAAGAATAAATGAAATTCAGAAAAGCTACCAAACCATGAGAAATCTAAGAAGAATTAAAAAAAAAAAAAAAAAGGAATGAGGAAACTGTAAAAGCCAGGGCAGGGATGCTGGATAAAATTTACTATAGAGTTCTGGGAAGGTTCCTGTTTTATTTCAAAACAAGGACATGTGTGCTACTACAGAAGACTCTAAATGGACAGTCAATGGTTAAAGGCATGGGATACTCTTTCAGGAAAAATCGTGATTGAAGCACTCTGATGATCAGCTGCCCAGTCTCTTGTTAGTGTTCACAAAATGCTTGGGAGGATAAATGTATTTACCCTGTTTGGACAATATGTGTGCTTGTAATGAAGCACTTATATCATGCCATATGTATTTTATATATGTAGATATGTGTATGTGCATTTCTTTTCAAATTAAAATTCTTTTTAATAAGAAAATGAGATATTTTGTATTTCTAGATGGAAAGTGATAAAGATTGGATATCGTGGCTTAGTGAAAGAAGATAAAGGGAATATTTGGCAACCATTCTCAAAGAAATGTTGTTTGACAGCAGGAAGCAGCCCCTTCTTTTTCCCCACCTGTGGGCACAGGAGAAAAAAAAACTGAAACATTTGTCCCAGCACCATCTTTCCTCTGTACCTCGACTCTTCCCATTCTAATTGGAGGCCCAGATGGATGTGTATCCCTCTCAACTACACAAATACTATTAAAAATAAAATTAAAAAAAAATATGTTATGCAAGTGGGGTAAAGGGTAGCTCTCATATTTTCAGAAAAGCATGGATGAGACAATATGACTAAAGCAAGGCAAGAGATTTACTTCAGAATTCAGACAGACTTCCTGAAGCACTTAGTTCCCCAAATATATCGCTAAACAGGATTTATATCACTAAACAGGATTTATCCTGCAAACAGAGCGGGAGGGCTTTTCCAGAGTCATTGGGCAAGGATTCCAAGGGACAGCACTTCCACAGCCCCAGTTGTTCCCTGGGATAATATGACCTGATTCGTGAAGAATGACTATGGAATCTCATTGATTTCAAACTTTATGGAAAGCAGTGGGTGGAATCTAAGCAGGAAAAGGAGTTCATTCTTTCTAAAGATGGGAACTTAGGCCATTCTAATTTCCACATGATTTTACGGATCAGCAAACTATAGTTAAGTTCTTTTGACAAATCCAGGACTATATATATTTTTGCTTAAAACCAAATGGTTTTCAATGCAAGGGACTAAATAAGGTTGAAGTTCCCAAATGGAAATACATAGAGACTGCGATTGGCATAGGGAGAAGGAAAGTAGACTCCTTAAGCTGCTTCCATGAAAATTCAATCCACTGCTAGCTTCTGCTGTACAAAACTTTGACATATGTCCCTTGACCTTTACCAACTACCCTTTCACGTTTGACACCTAGCATTTGCTACATGATTAAAATTCAGCGTTAATTTCAACACTATCAGTTAAGTTATATTTAGCTAAGAACACTCGCTTTTGTCTTTTGTGAGTAGCACTGCAGTATTATTACAAAGAGGTAGTCAGAAGGGCAATAGAGATACGAGAAGAGAAGAATGATTCAGTGTGCAGATAATTGTTTCGAGTGAAATTTAGCTCGGTATTTTTGTTCCTGTCCTCAGTAGAACTGAGATGTAGCACCTCCCGCTGGTATTTAGCCCCCACCCCCACACACGAGGAGGCTGTGCTGGGTGGGTGCTGAAGAACGAGCCACACCAGGATTAAATTATAGCACAGCTCCAACACTGGCGAGAAATTTCTCTGGCCAGCTCTTGAGTATAAACCTGGTGATCCCAGCAGAGAAGCAAGGCATCCCTGCAAAGAATGTCCATATGGTGTGGTATCATCTTCAATGAGGGAAGTTGACAGCTTAAAGAGCATGGTCCAAAAGGTGGTGACTGTTCCCAAGAAAACAGTGGAATTTGGACTGTTTAGCAGATTTGTAGTTCTAAACTTAAACTCACCCATGAAATTGTCTTGTGGATGGTTTATTTCCCAATTTAATCAAAATTGTCACTAAAAATAGACCAAACTCAAGAAATTTGGTCTCTTTCTCTGAATTTTCCAAATGAGATTTTATAAAAATTATATTCTTCATTAGATACACTTTTTCTCCATGTAAGGAACATAGTAAGAATGTGCAGAAGCAACTCTTGGTTTTATGTGAAGTTCAAAATGTTGTTGAATTATTATTATAACTGTTGTTCCTTTTTAAAAAGATTTATTCTTATTGGAAATTTAGATATACAGAAAGGAGGAGAGACAGAGAGGAAGATCTTCTATCCAATGGTTCACACCCCAAGTGAACGCAAAGGCCGGTCCTACACCGATCCGAAGCCAGGAGCCAGGAACCTCTTCCAGGTCTCACGCACAGGTGCAGGGTCCCAAGGCTTTGGGCTGTCCTCCACTGCTTTTCCAAGTCACAAGCAGGGAGTTGGATGGGAAGTGGAGCTACTGGGTTTAGAACCAGAGCCCGTATAGAATTCCGGCACATGCAAGGCGAGGACTTTAGCCACTAGGCTTCCATTCTCGGCCCAACTACTGTTCCTTGAGATGTCAGAAAATTGTGGTCTGTAGGTTTACTGTGCTATTGAAACACTCCAGTTTATTTATTTTAATTAATTGTTTTGTATTATTATTCCATGATATGGTTTCATAGGCTCCAAGATTGCCCTTTCCCCTCGCCAACCCTGCTCCCTACTAATTTCCCGCATGTATAGTCCTTCACATCAGTCATAAGTCCATCATTCTGTTAATTATGTGTGTCCTGACATTGTAGGCATGGACAGTGGCAGAGTCCAGCATGCTATTGTCAAGATACATTCGACAATTTCATTGCAAGTCCATCTTTGATTTAGAAGCAGAGATGCACACTGCATTGCATCTTCACATCTGTATGTGATATCTCTATTACACAGTTACTATACATCCTCTTAAATGAAAAAACATAAAATAAAATCAACAATGGAGAGAAAAGTAGAAAATGTAAACAACATGAACTTAAATAACATGCTACTGAATAACCAGTGTGTTGTTGAAAAAATAAGAAAATCCAATACTTCCTGAAGCAAATGATGCTATTGTGTGATGCATGATTCAGTGAGGAAATTAATAAGAAAAAAGAAAAAATTTTTGAATGAAGAAAAATGAAAACAAAAGAATCACTACTGTTCTTTAAAGATGTGTATCCACAGAACAAGAAGAGGTTTCCATGTGGTGGATGCTGCAGGTGAATAAATTGTAGATGGAAATTGTTGTTATATGTCCTAAAGAGAATAAAGTAATGGATGTTGGACCTTGGTGTGTATATATATATATATATAATATATATATATATATTTGGGGAGTCTCCATTTGTTTAAAAGCTTTTTGCATTTTCATTTGTATATCATTGACAATTTTGCTTCTAGCAGTTCAGCTCTGATATTTCAGAATCTAGTTCCATGTCCTCATCTCCTCCCTGTATCTTTAGTTGGAAGTCGCTTGATCTCTCCAAGATTGTTTCCTGTCTATCCCCTGGGAGAAATTCCAGCCTGCATCTGGCAGGACTTTAAGTAACTTTCAGTAGTTATGTGATTCAGAACAGAGCACATTTTACTAGTTGAAAGATAATGCAAAACCTGTAGTAGTAAGTGGGATTTTGGTCCCCAGCGTCGTCCCCCTTTGTTCTTGAAGGGACCCTCAGAGATTCATTATGGTCCTACCATCTGAGGTGATCACCCATTAGGGTGGGGTCTCTGCGTTTTTCTCAGTTGTTTTTGTTTTCACACTCTGGAATACTGAGTCCTGGTTCAGAGTCTAGCTTTGTGAGAAAGGTCACAACTTGCATTGGAAATGTCCTACTTCCTTGCACTATCCTCTGACCTGGACCTCTCATGGATGCTTGTCACAGCAATGGTGAATCGTTCTACCTCTAGCAGTCCCTGGGCCTCCTGAAATTCTTATTCACTCTTCATATAATGGATTCTGTAAACAATGCCTTGGATAAATTGCATTAGAGCCTTTGGACCACCCTAGTAGTTTACTGCACTCCAGGTTCTGGTTCCTTTCTCCCATCCCAGCCCTTCTGCCATTGACCTTAGCTAAGTTGTGCTGTGAGATACTGTGGCAAGAGGCTGAACTCTAATAATAGAGCAGCATACACAGATGAAAAGGGGGATTCATTTACTGTATTTAGGACCAATGCATATTTTTAAGAATGGAAAGGCTGGGCCCAGCTCAGTAACCTAGTGGCTAAGGTCCTCGTTTTGCACTGTCTGGGATCCCACATGGGTGCTGGTTCATACCCAATGGCCCCGCTTCCCTTCCAGCTCCCTGCTTGTGGCCTGGGAAAGCAGTAGGGGGTGGCCCAACGCCTTGTGACCCTCCACCCGCATAGGATACTTGGAAGAAGTTCCTGGCACCTGGTTTTAGATTGGCTCAGCTCTGGCTGTCGCAGTCACTTGAGGAGTGAATCATCGAATGGAGGTTCCTTCTTTCTGTCTCTTCTCCTCTCTGTATATCTGACTTTCCAATAAAAATAAATAAATCTTTAAAAAAGAAAGAATGGGAAGGCTTTATAGAAATATTTTTTCTCCTCCTTTGTTTTTCTGTTCTTTTTTGGCTTTACTTAATGAAGCCAAATGTTAACAGGCAAACATTAATGTGAGACGTAACTTACAATTAAATTTTGGAAAACTGTTTTTTTTTCAATATTTCTTTACTGTAGACTCAAACCAGTGACTATCTCAATACCTTAATATTGAAGATGACTTTATTTTGTAAATTATTTTTCTTTCTGTTCTTATATTCTAAGGTGCTACACAATGGCCTCATCATGGAGATGAAACATCCAACAGCAGGGACGATTTCAGTTCCAGGTTTGAATATTTTTGTGATTTTCTTTCTTTCATTTTTTGTGTTACATGTTTCTACTGGAAACAACCTATTAAGACATTTCACAATCTATACTTCGATAAAAGGAAAATCTAAGACTTCACTCACAAGAATGTAAGTGGAGGCTATGGGATTGCATCTCAGTGTGTTTTAACTCTAAGGAACATCTAATTGCCCCAGTGAAAAGAATTGTTCGTAGTTCCTGATTTCATTTTATGTGTTTATATGCTCACACGTGTACATCATAGAGCTATCAGCATAAAGATGATAATAGATATAGTGATATTAATAAATAGAATGTGGTTCAAAGGAAAACCAGGAAAAAATAGAAGTGCCATCTAAGAAAGGCTGCTGGCTGCATGGGCCAGGTTATACCTTTTCTGAATTATGGCTTAAAGTATTGGCTTTTCAGAACAGAAAAGATGTGTTTTTGGTAAACCCGGAGTGAACTGAATTTTTTAAGTTGATTCATGCCAAACAAACTCACCAAGGACCGTTGCTTAACCCAAAATGCCAACTTTTCACCTGCAGAGGCAGCCAGTGTTTTCATGCGTACTCTGAGTACTCTCTTGGGTAGCTCAGTCAGTGTTTTCTTGGAGTGTACCATCAGTCATTTTCCTGGTGTCTGTAATGTTATTGTTTCTTGGATATGTTGTCTTTGTCCTCTGAGACATGCTGAAAAAGTGTCACACTTTTTTATTCATGGTGTTCCTATTTTCTAGACTATGCACAAATCATGCATTTACTTTTTCTTCTGTCAATAGGCAGTGAAAGTTGCTATGATAAACTTTTGTTATTGTTTTTCTGCTTACCTTGCTTGGAATTTGGTACTCCACAAAATTCTCAGTTAACTTGGCCAAATGACATGAAACATTTCTTCCAAGGTTGTTGATTTTGCTTGTTGAATAATGATTATTTTTAACTTCATTTTAAACATAATATCTGCACAATTGGAGTCAGTTTGATGGTAAAATCTCTAAAAATAGGGCAAATAATGGCCATTAGCATGCAAAAAGAGTAAGAAAGAGCAAATATGAATGAGGCTGGTTGGAAGAGAAAGTTGTGATGTACATGCGTCTAAGAAACATTGGGTATGAATCAAGGAAACTAAGAGAACACACACAGTATAAGCATCTCAGGGACCACATGTCACAGGAAGTTTATCTCATATGGATAGGTGGTAAAAACAGCATGTTGATATAATCAAAATAGATCGTTCATCTATTTCATTTATTCTTTTCATGTTATTGAACATATGCTGTGTGCTGTGTATTGCTTTGGAACCTGTGGGGTTTGTAAATAGAAGGTTAAACCAGGATGGCCCGTGGTCACATAGAGCTTATACTCTATGGAAAGGCAGATAATATAAGCAACAAACAGGGTCTTCTGTAGTTTTGAACTATAAGGACAAAGGAAAGAAAGAACAATATACTGTCACAGAGAATGGAGGGAGGCAGACAGTAGCCTCCTGTAGTTCAAGTGATCAGAAAAATCGTTTTTGGGAGACTTCACACTTTGATTGAAGAATAGAAACAAATTTGCATTTGGAGCAAATGTGGACATGCATCCCAAATAGAGGGATTACACCTGAGGCGATTCTAAAGTAGAAAGAGGTGGTGGTTTAATGCCGGTGTGAAAGAAGTTGGGGAAAACATGGCAGGAGATGGAGATGATAGGATAGACAGAAACTTGAAGCTCACAGTGGAACTGGGTTTACTTTAACTTTAAGCAAGGGAGTGAAATGATAGAATTTATAAATGCAAGTAAAGAATGTAGTTATTATAGAAATTTAAGTAATGGCTTTTAAAATTAAGGTCACAGTAATACAAGAGATCTTCCAAAAGTTAATGAAAATGTATATTATGGAAAAATATGGATGGGATTCCATTTTTTGCATAATATTAACTTTAAATTTGACATTTCTGCAAAGTTTCTGAAGCATCCTCGAGAGATAAAGGCAGTGATCAGAAGACATGCTATAGTAGTGATCTCAGCCTGAAAAAGCTTTAGGAAGCATTTTATTCAGTAGCTTTTAAACAATGGGATTGATATTCCAAAAAAAGTCTCAGTATCTAAATAAAGCAGCTTGCTGACAGATAGGTCCAACACTCTAATTATTTAGCTTTCCTCCTCTGTACCATCATGCCACATGAGTGAGAGTTAGTTTTCTGATTCATTCCCCAAGTGGTTGCAGCATCCTAGAATTGGGCCAGGCCCAAGAGCCAGGAGCTTCATCTGGATCCTCAGGTGAGTGGTATGGAACCAAGTGGTTGGATCATCCCCTACTTTCCAGGTGCATTAGCAGAGATCTGAATCAGAAGTGGAGCAGCTAAGACTTGAACCAGCTCACATAGGAGGTCAGTGTTCGCCAACAACTGCTTAACCTGCCAACATTGATCCCTCTAAAGAATTAAGGAAGACGTATGTCAGTTGTATTTATATAAGGGATTTCTAGACTTACAGATAGAGCATGGAAACCATTTAATGTTCATGAATTAGATCTGAGTTGTAGTTATGATAATGCTGTTCTTTCATGTATTATTGATTAAACTACTCTCATTCAGGCTTTAAAATCTACTATACATCTACATTTTGTTCTTTTGAAAAATGCCTGCTCAATTCATTTACCTGTTTCTTGATAGAGTCATTTGTCTTTCTGTCATTAATTTTCTGAATCTCTTTGTAAGTCCTGGATATTAGTTCTCTATATGTTGTATAGTGTGCAAATGTTTTCTCCCATTCTGTTGATTGCTTCTTTACTTTGTTGATCATTTCTTTTGTTGTACAGAAACACCTTGCTTTGATGTGGTCCTATTTGTTTATTCTAGCTGTGACTGCCTATGCTTTTGGTGACTTTTCTAAGAAGTCTTTACCAATGCCAATATCTTGTTGAATGCTCCGTATGTTTTCCTCTAGTAGTTTGATGGTTTCTGAATGCAGATTTAGGACTTTGATCGATTTAGAGCTGATTTTGTTTTCGGTGGCCGGTGGGGGTCTTGGTTCATACTTCTGCAGGGTGCGATGCAGTTGTTATGACAGCATTTGTTGAACAGACCAAGATTTTTCCCGAATTATTTTCAGTTCAGTTCTCTTATTGAAGATTAGTTGGCTGTACACATGTGGACTCATTTCAGGGGTTTCTATGATGTTGAATTGATCTCTGTTTCCATACCAGTACCAAGTTGCTTTATTATCATTGTCCTGTATTAAATTAAAATAACTAATAGGTATATGAAAAAATAGCTCAGATTTCCCTAGCTGTTATGGAAATACAAATAAAAACACATTGTGGTTCCATCTAAATTCACTGAGATTGGCCTACATTTGGCAATCTAGTAATAACACCTGTAATCCTGGATGTGGGAACAAAGAAACCCTACTGAATTGTTGCTGGAAATAAGGGCTGGTGCAGCCACTAGGAAAGTCAGTATGGAGAGTGCAAAGATGACTGAAAATTCTTCTAACGTATGACCCATGTATCCCACTCCTGAGAATATGTCCAAAGGAAATGAAATTTGCAGATGATACAGCAACCTGCAACCCTATATGTATAGCAACACAATTCATGATTGCAAAGATATGGGAACAACCCAGATGCCCCTCCAAAGAGAAATTGATTTAAAAAACTGTAGCACATGTACACCATGGAATACTACACAGCCTCTGAAAAGAATGAAACTCTGTCACTTGCAACAGAATGGTCCAAACTACAGACGATTATGCTCAGTAAAATAAGCCAATCCCAAAAGAATAAATATCACATATGCTCTCTGATATAAGGCAACATTCATGTAAAATGCAAAACAGAAGATAGGTAAACATGTATATCCATGTATTATCAAGATGAGCTGTATAATGGAGACTAGCACACTGGGAAGTGAAGATAATGTTGTGGTATGCATCTCTCCCTGTGAATAAAAGGAGGACTTCCACAGAAACTGCTGACTATACCTTTGACAATAGAATACCAGACTTTCTACCGTTCTCTATACCTAAAATGCCATGATACACTTAAATAGCACAAAGCTGTGTTTGGATTTGTAACTTGCTGAAAGACTATACTATTATAATAATATATGGGGAAATGGTGGGGAGGATAATTGAGAGGAAGAAGACAGAGGAATACCTGTGCTTATAGAACTGTATTGAAAAATAATAATTACAAAAATTAACATACAGTTAAAGGTAAGGAGAGATGAAGAAAAATAAACTGGTAGTGGGTATATAATTGAAAATGCATATCATGTCTCTTTTTGCCAAGTCTCAATATTCTTGTGTTCTAAGAGTCCTAAATAAAAGCTTACTGTTGTTTGAGCTCACTATTAGTTTAGTGTCACAGGTATCAGCCCAGTAGGTGCAATATACTAATCTGTTTAGAATTGACTAACGTAGCCTAGTGGCTAAAGACCTTGACTTGCATTCTCCAGGATCCCATATGGGAGCCAGTTTGTACCTTGGCTGCTCCACTTCCCTTCCAGATCCCTGCTTGTGGCCTGGGAAGCAGTAGAGCATGGCCCAAAGCCCTGGAACCCTGCACCCATATGGGAAACCAAGAAGAAGCTCCTGGCTTCAGATCAACTCAGATTCAGCCACTGTAGCCACTTGGGAAATAAACCACTGAATGGAATATCTTTCTGTCTCTCCTCTCTGTAAATCTGACTTTCCAATAAAAATTAACTAATTAATTAATATTGTAAAAAAGAATTAACTTGGATGGGTGTTCAAATACAGATTTCCCCTCCCCCCACAATTATATTAACCAAAGTTTCTCTCTTCTTTACATTATGTAGGATCTGATGAGAAAGTATTGATAGCCCTGGTCCCTTGTGGCATTTATTGTTTGCAAATGAAGACAGACCAGAACAATAATTATGGAAGAATGAGATGAGTGTACTTGCATGTCTATAATAGGATGTTATGGGAGCTTATACCAGGGTGATCTCACTTGGGGTGTGGGCTGAGATGATGTTTCCCTGTGATACAG